TTATGTTCATCAGCAGATGATGTTTTTATGGTTTGGGTACTCAGTGCTTTTGAGTAGATTTTCCTGAGTCCAATACATGGAAGGCTTGTATTGCAATCTTCTCCTCAGTGAAAGAGAGAAAAAAATCCAAAACTATTAGCAGCAAGCAAGCATCTAATAAGTTCACAATTAATCCCTAAAAGAATGGCTTTTCTTTTTTCAGTTAGGTTGAAATTAGTCAATTTTATTGAGACAGGGCAGAGTGAAAAAACAGATAAAGAAGTATTCACACAAACATATGGATTGCTCATGTAAGCTTTATTTCCTTAGCAAGTCAGGATAAAACATTTCAGTGATTAATATATAAACAGCAATTGCTCATATCCTGCAGATATTCAGGAAATAACTGAAATCTGCAAGCAAATTTAACTGAATCTGTAGCAGATAAAATTAACTAAAAGATGGAGATATAATTGCCTGAGTCTGTACACAAAGTCAAGCTGAAAGATAAATGGCAGTTCCATTTTCCTGTTGACTGTTAAATTATCTGGGGTCATGGATTTCCTTCCAGAAACAGGAATGTGAATCTCAGAATCCAAGAGAGTTTGTAATAAACAGAAAAGGAAACTGATTTCTCAAGAGAGATTACCATCCAGACACAATATTCCTGGGCCAAAGTTGCCCTTTTGAGAGATTGTTCCACAGAAGTGTGAAGTTCCTGCATAGTGCTGCACTAGACTAGGGTAATATTATGTACTTAAAACTCTGACACAGCTTTTTCCTATGATCCAACTTTGGATGGAGTTTCCCATCACATAAAGTTGATCGCTCAGAAAAAATACAATCACGCTGTAATCCTTACATAGTTCTCAGTCTCAAGACAATTCAGTTATTTAACTAATGTCCTCCAATAGCCATAGTGTGCAGTAGAGCAGGAATGATAGTTATTTCCTGCAAAGGGAGAATAAGGCTGTGGGTGATGCCCCTGCAGCAGCAGAAAGGGTGGAATTTGGGAGATGGTGGAGTTCATGGCAGCTGGGAGGGACAGCTGGACTGCAAAACTGGGAGGACTGCAAAGAATGGAAAAAACAGCTGCAACAGCAGAAAAATAGCAGGCAACAAACAGGATGTGAGGAGGAATTACAAGAAAATAGTTGAAAGCATGTGAGGAGAGCAGCAGGCCTGATACTGACACTGGCAGCCAGAACTGCTGGGAACGCTGCAATCCACAACACATGCACAGCGCACCGTGGTGAATGGATTCTGGCCTGCCACATAGGACTGCTGTAGGGCAGCAAAAGCAGGTGCCAAAGAAAAACAAACTGCTAGTTTCTGGTAGTTCAAGAGCTAGCCAGGCTTGCAGTTTTAGGTGGTAGGCTCTCCACTTAGCTGTTGCTGTCTTGAAGTTCTTGTGAGAGCCATCAGAAACATGCAGGTGTACATCTGCAACCTCTGTGTGCCACAGGCAGGGAGGCTCCCTTGTGAGAAACCAAAGCACAGGAACCTACCAGCAGTAGCTGAGACCTGGAATATCAATCTAGGGATGGGATAGGTAGATCTTTCCTGATATTTTCAAATAATATCATTAGAAATGTGTCCTTCTTGAAAACAAAGAAACAAAAGGACTGTAAGTCCAGAAACACTGTATTAGACAAGAGTTAAAAATCAGAGTCCTGAAGTAAATACGAAACTGTGACAGTCCTAAATGGATACAGAAAGCTCCAGCAATCATGCAGCTCAGAAGATAAGAATGGATTTGGAAGGAAGAAGCGAAGGGTGGCATCAACAGATGGACAGCAGATGCAACACGAAGATGGAAATGATGGAGTTAATGTGTCAAACAGCTCTACACATGGGAAGAGATAGAATAAATTAGAATAGAAAAAGGACATTACAAGGATATGGAATGGTTAAGTGGAGAAGAGAGGGAGATTTGAAAATTTTAACCCCCATCTGAGAAGTGTATATCCAAACATAAATTTATGTTTTTAATCAGCTTTTTTTTCCTGTCAGTTGAGAACTAATGAAACCTAAGCAAGCAATTAGCTTTAGGTAGATTACAGGACATCTGTAAACCTCCTTCATACCATCACTCCGTCACAGTGATGAAACATGATTTATATGAAACATTTGCTGGAGAAATGCCATCAACATTAATAATATTACATAAACAGGAGAAAACAGCAGCTCCAGTGGCCTCCCTTCACTTGTGCTAAGCAGCCATGTAGTTGCATAGGAGTTTTTTGAGCAGTGTTGATTGTAACTCACAAATTTAATTTCTTTTTACCTTGAATTCACAGCTTGTGTTTAGTTCTTTTTCACTGTATTTGCATTCCAATAAACAGTCATTAATCCCTGTTTCCTTATCAGGAGCTGTTCTAATTAGGCTGTTCTAAAAGCTGAGTTAATCAATAGAGTTAATTCTTTGCATTTATAAACAGGAAGTTTTCTATTGCAAAAACAGGTTTTTTTATGGTTTTTTGGCTTATCACTTCTTAAATGTCAGCCTAAACTCAGTGCCATTGGTATGTCATGATAAACAGCACTTACACAAGCAATCCTACTCAAGTTGGTGTGGCTAGTCATTTGATTACACATGAATTAACATGAATTAGTATGGGCAGAAATGAAAAACATGAGCTTCTTTATTTGCCAAAAAAATACTAAAGAAGCCTACAGATAAATAAGTTCCTGATTTCTTTTCAACAGATAGTGAACAAATTGAATTGTATTTCATTTGTAATTTACCTCACAATTCCCTGCCATCTCTTCCTGTAAAGCACTACAGTGAGCAGTTTTTTGAGCAGGTCTCTGTTTCTATAACAGCCTCTCACACTACAATAAACCACTACAAATAAACAGGGGGAACTCACACCTTGCAGACAGCAGCCAGCCCCACTAGTACTTTGTCATTCTGCTGGCATAGCTGAATTTCATTTTCCTGATTCACTAACAGACACAGGACATACACCACAACTAATGGAAGTGACTGAGACACAGCCCCAAGAGCTGTGTTCCTTGGTCTCCTTGGTCTGGGCACCACAATACACATAAAACACCGTGGCACAGTAGGCCTCGTTGAGAATTTTGCTAGCTATCCCCAAGCTTGCAAAGATGAGAAGTTCCAATGTCTGTGCTGTCCTGGGATTTTCGTCATGAGGCAAATGGTAGGGACTTACTGTATGACCGTATTTCAGTTGTGGTTCTAATAGTGGTGTCTTTTTTTGCAGTATCATTATTAGACATCAGCTGCATAAAATGTACTCCCAAACATATCTACAACTTTCTTCTTTTTTTTTAAACCATTAAAGCCACAATTAAGCATAAAATAAAGTGATGCCATTGATTCAGATTTCCCCTAAATCCCCTAAATTTCCCCTAAAGCCTTTCTCCTGGTGAATTACTTTCCTGTGCTTTTGCATGGATTAAGTTCTCTTGCTGCATCTAACTCTTTCACTTCAGTACATTCAGGCATTTACCTTCCCACAAAGGGTCAATCTTGTCTTTTACATACCAAACTGGGGCCAAGCAATTTCTCACCCAAAACTGTTACGCCTACACTGGTCTGTCAGAAGTAATATGGGAAAGTGATCTGTATGAGCAATAATATGGAGATCATTTCCACTAAGACTGAGCTAAATGACCATCTAAAATCTGTTCTCATTTCTATGAGAGTAGTTGGTATTTCTGGTTTGGCAGTATAAACTACGTGGCTGATGATGGAGCGAGTATGACACCATATTCATGCAGCACTTTCTCCACCAAGTTGAAAAGTTATCAAGAGTTTATTGTTACACCTTTTTCATTCTACTCCATCTTTAATGACAAAGGAATGAATACCCTTCATCTTGCTTGCTATACTGTGTGTATCCAACACATTACTACATCGGTCTTCATAAAGGCTATATACAAAATGTATGCTTCACTTCCCAAAATTCAGTCACCTTTAACTACTCACAATATTTGAACTTCAGACATGGGAAAAGTACTTTTCATTGGTCTTGACTGTCAAAAACAGTTTTACTGTCAAAGCCAAGTTTTAGTCATACTTGGCTTAAGCCAAGTATATATTTCCTTTTTGCTTGGCTACATCGGGCACAGATAAAGACATAGAAACAAAAAGCATGGTGGAGAGCAATCCTGATCTGCTACCACTATTCTTAGATTCACTTACTTTCACTTGACATCACACATGCCCCAAAGGTTTCTTTCCCTAGGCAAAAAAATTACATTTGTATGAATGCATCAGTCCATGCTTAAAGTAGTAAATAACAGCAACAGAAGCGTGATGAAAAAGACTGTTTGGGGGAATGAATGTGTGAAAACCCCCAGCCCGAAACACATAAAAGTGAATTACTGCAAGGAATATTGCAACTGAATGGCAACCAACGCTGTCAGCCAATTTTGGTCTTGCACTCGGAACAGTAATTCTGAAGCCCACATACATTTTTCCTCTCCTAAGGCTGTCCGTGCCCGTGACCTGTGCAGAACGGAGCAGCTTTTTCACCTTGTGCTGAGAGGTCACGGACCGAATCAGTTTCATTAGTTTTATCATTTCTTACGCTTTTAAAGAACTATTACCGGCTGCGAGAATTTAAAACAACAACGGACAAACAAAAGCCTCGACACTGATCGAGAAGCCGCAAGTTTTCCCTTTCCGTTCGCCTGACTTGCGGCGCTGCGGTCGCACCGGGGACGCTCCGGAAGGCCGAAAGCTGCTCCCGGAGAAGAGTCCCGCGGGCCCCGTGGCGCGGGAGTGCTCCCATGAAGGCGGGAGTGCTCCCATGAAGGCGGGAGTGCTCCCATGAAGGCGGGAGTGCTCCCACCCACGAACGCAGGATGGCTCCCAGGCTCGCGGGCAGGGCCCCGAACCGCGGACGAGCCGGCAGGACAATGCCTGGCGGGACGCGCAGTCTCCCACCGCCTCGCCCAGCACGGACTACGCTTCCCGTGAGGCCGCGCGGCAGAGCGCGGGCCGCCGTGTGCGTCACGACGCGAGCAGCCAATCGCGGCCCGGCCGGGGCGAGCGCCGTCCGCCGCCAATGTTGTTTTCGCTGAGTCGAGGCGCTGGTGTTGTTGGCGGCGGCGCCATATTGGAAGGGACGAGCGCCCGCTCTCGAGCAGCCCCTGGGCGCGGGCCCGGCCGCCGCCATGCTGTACCTGGAGGACTATCTGGAGAGTGAGTGTGTGCGCGGCGGGGGCGCCGGGCGGCCGGGCACGGCCGGTGCGGGGGAGCCGGGGGAAGCCGCGGCGAGGAGGCGGCGCCCCCCCTCCCCCACGGCAGCGAGTGACTGACTGGCTCCCTCCCTCCCCCCTCTCTCCCGCTCCCCCGTGTCCCCGCAGTGATCGAGCAGCTTCCCATGGATCTGCGCGACAGGTTCACCGAGATGCGCGAGATGGACCTGCAGGTGCAGAGTACGTGAGTCCCGCCCCCTCCGCCTCCGCCCGCCCCCTCCGCGCCCGCCCCGCTCCGCCCCGCGGGCACCGGCCCCACCGCCGCGCCCCCGCCGCAGGGCGGGAGGGGCGGGAAGGCCGAGCAGCGGAGGAAGGAAGGAAGGAGGCGAAGCGGCGCCGCTCCGGCCCGCTGCAGCAGCTCCGCCCGCTCCCCCGCGCTGCCCCGGAGCGGTCGCTCCCCCTCCCCAGCCCTGCCACGGCTCTCCGGCACCGCTGCTCGGGCCTGGGGGCGTCTCGTCGCCTCCCGCGGGCGAAGGCTCTGCCGAGCCGCCGCGACGAGGCGAGGGGCGGGACGCACGCCCCTGGCGCTGTCGCGGCAGCCCCCGACCCGCCCCAAGCCCCCGCCCGCCGCGCCTCGGCACAAGGAGGGCCTCGGCGGAGCTACGTTCCAGGGCTTGTGCTGCTCCCCAAGGCATTTTTGGTGGCACGTCCCAAACTCTTTAGATTTTTGATCCCTAAGAGCAGTGATGGTGGTTTGGAGCATGAGTTATGTCCCACTCCTTCCAGTAGGCAGCAGCATGCTCTCCGTGAAACTTTCCAGCCAGCTCACTAATAATAGTATATGATGGGAAGGTGCTATTTGCTCGGCTTGTTGTGTCCTACCTGACACGTAGCCAAACATACTTTATATACTTTCGGGTTTATACAAATTATATTTTACGTAAATGTCTGCTTTAGTATAAATATATATATTATACAAAATATATATTTATAAATACATTTCAGGTTTCTTTCTAGATGACTTCCTATCTAGCTGCTTATATTACGATGTAATACACTTCATTAGGCTATTTTCAGGATGCATTGCTATTTCATCTTTTCCAATGCAATCTCATCTGGGACTTAGGTGTCCTGTCACACCCTGGGTAGCTGTTGTGGTCATTTAACACACAATTAATATGGTTATCTATAACTATGATCCAAAAATATTCACTAACGAAACTGCTACTGCACAAAAGATGAGAACAATCATCAATATGGAAGGGCCAGGCTATTGTAAAAGGGGAATGAGAGAAAGAGCAGAGATGGAAATAACAAGGGAATACCGTATAGGAATGCAAAATGTGGGAACAGTTTTGTAGTATTTTAAAGTGCTTTCCTTTGGATATTTACTTTAATGGACCCAGCAGGTCTGTTTAACAGGCCTTATTGACACATGTAAAACTGTCTATAGGATTTTTTTGTATATTATGACCTAAATGTTGTCTTGGGTTCAGTGCTTAAAGTTGTGGGAACAGTCATGGCTCTTTCTGGGAGATAGCACCTCTGAAGTTGCTATTACTAGGGAGCATCATGAGAGGGAGTGAGCAGCTCCCTGACTTGAATAGTTTGGAATAAGTTCACCATTTTTACTTCTGTTCCATAAGAAGGCAAAGAAGATGGTAGGGGCTCTTTTAGAGAAGACTGAAAACTGAGGAAACTAGCAACACCAAGACAGCAGATTGTTATTTCCTCTGCCTTAACTGAGAATGACAAATAACACTCCATGTTGTATTATTGGAAGCAGTAAATGACAGTGAATATTGCATACTAGGACCAGCCTTAGGTGTAGAGAAAAATTTTCTCAGACCTTGGTAATTCTGTGCTTAAAGTTGTGGGAACAGTCATGGCTCCTTCTGGGAGATAGTACCTCTGAAGTCACTATCACTAGAGAACATCATGAGAGGGAGTGAGCTTGTGCAGTGATTGGCAGGGTATCCAAAGACATTTATTAAACTTCTGGACTAGCACCTCTTCAGCATAACTTGTCCAACTGCCTGATGAACAATACATGCAACCTGGAGGTTGTTTGGTGTCTCAGAAGTACTTGAAAACAGTACTTTGGTGAGTGATGCTGTCCCAGAAATCGACATGATTTGTAATTCAGAGACATCTCTGCTGCTCTGCTTTAGTGTCAGTGTTGACTTTGTATTCTGTTGTGTTTGGACCACATAGACCTGGTCTATTATTTCTTCCAACTTCGAACAGCAACGTGCCTCATTAGGAGTCAATCTGCTGTATATTCTGATAAGATTGCTGCGGAAAAGCAAATATCATCTGAGTTGGGACTTGACTCTTGAGCTTTAACTGAGCTCCACATGAAGCATAAAATGTATTTCTCTGTTTAAGTTAAAATCATAGATTATCAGGTTTTCATGGTAAAATGTTAAGATCTGGAAACAGGACTCTGTTATAATAGAAATTTTAGCAGCTCGGGAAACTATCTTCAGAATATAGTATAATGAGAAAAAATGGATGAACTTGAGTGTAGCAGAGAGAACTTTACATATAATTGGATAGATCTGACCTGCACTCGCCTTTGTCTTCTCTGCTCTTTCAGGAGAGACCAAGTTTCTGTGGAAATTTTTCCCTAGGCAGTTTCACACAGACTGATAAGGTGTCCTCAATAAAAAGTGAAGATACATTTTATCATTTCTTCTTTATGGAGCCACTAGAATAACTATCACTTAAGGTGTTTGTGTTCTGATAAAAGGAGATAGAACATAGAAAAGTCTGTTGGCTTTTTGGACCAAACTAGAGTCATTTGGTTGAAGAATAGAGATTTTAGAAGCCTCCATATAAAGTGTGTGCTTCTTGGTTAACTCTCTTCTTAATCTTCTCTACTTGGTGCAAGTGGAAAATGCTCATTGTTCAGGTTCTCCCACTTTAGCCTGTTTTACTCCAAAACTGTTTGACTACTTTGTTCATCTGTGTCTAAATAAAGTTGGTGTGAATTTGTCACAGCTGTTATGGCTTGGGATTAATGGTGCTCTGTCCAGTCAGTTTTTAGGTTCCTCTTGGGTTTGATGCTGAATATTCCCAGCATAAGGAAGATTGATGAATATTATTGATCATTTAGTATGAATGATTTTTGGTCATTTATATAAACAGTTCCAGCTGTGAATTTTCACAGAGTTGAGAAGACCCTTGGCCTCCCGGATCTTAAGAGAAAATCATACGGATTCATGAGCTTCTTGAACTAATTAATGAATTTTCATTTTATTTTGGCAAGATGTGATCCAGTTTTAATGGTGGTTTCTGGAAAGTTTCTTAGGTGTTTTGCACCCAGAGCCTGAAGTTGTAGGTGATTTGTGCATTGTCAGATTTAATTTAAAACTGATAGCTAGGCAATGTCACTGAGAATGCTGGGAAAAAAAACTCATTACTGTCATCTATGCTGACACTAGCAAGGCTGTCCAAGCTAGTTTGACTGAGGGAGCTGCATGTTTTTGGAAATATGCACACTGTTGAGTGAGCAAGTGTCCAGGTGTTGAAATAGTAAACTCAGTGGGAGAAGGCTGGAGGGGAAAAGGAAGGGAATCCCTGCTCCTGTCTCAATAAACAATGAAAAAAAACCTTGTGGTTGACATTTTCCTTTCTAGAGATAGTTAATGTTAGAAAACAGGTGGTTTTATTTTTTTCCCCTTTATGATATTTCTCAACTTCATAAGTGAGAATCCTGTCCAAATAATAATTCATCAGTGCATTTACTCCTCTGGGGGTGGAGGGAATAATTTGTGAGTGCTTTCAATTTGCCCTGACCCTTCCTAGCAAACAATGGAGAGGCCCTGGACTTAAAGGCAGTGACTTTGCTCTTCAGTTGGTCTACCTTTTTGAGACACTAATTTTTTTCAATTATTTGGTTTTGTATTTGACTGTTTCTCTTAGGAGAACATTTTGTTTCCTGCTCAGTTTGTAACTGGCTAGAATGTTCCAAAGTCAGCAGTCTAGAGCCCTGGGTGAGGAGTTTGGGTCGTGCTTTAAGTCACTACCACTGCTCTTAGGGACAAAAAACCTTTAGAACTTGGAGTCCTGCCTGTCCCATGCTGGAGAGCACAAGAACCTTGATGAGAATCCTACCAGAATGCAATTCTGCTTCTTGGAAATTAAGGTAAATATTTCCCTCCGCTGTCCACTGTTGCTTGATTGTTTTGGTTTTCTTTTTTTTTTCCTCTCTAATAGTTTGCACCTCAGTCCTGTCAACTTTGTTTGAGAAAAAAATTTCCCTTTATTTTCTAATGTTTGTGTACACGAGAAGATAACATTTGTCTCAATCTTTTCCTATGCTACAGATGCAATGGATCAGCTTGAACAGAGGGTAAATGAGTTTTTTATGAATGCAAAGAAAAACAAACCTGAATGGAGAGAAGAACAAATGACATCAATCAAAAAAGTAAGGCTATCACAAGAGTGGGTTAGATTTTTCTTCTGCAAACTAAAACAAGTTTAGGAACGAATAGTTTATGATTGATGGGAGATTTCACTGTTCAGAACTATGCCTTCCTTTGGGCTTTCATAGAGGTGGATGGATCTGCCTTGGAGGAGAACAGTGAAAGGTTTCTTTGATCAAGAATTTCTCTCAAGTTTTACTGAGTACTTGCTAGCATTAAAAAAAAACGTAATCCTGAAATGGTGAGGAAGCCTGGTACTAAATTTAGAGCTCAGATTTTTTGTTTCTGTTTGCATGATATGAAGTTACCCAAGTTAATTTACTTTCTTCTAGAGGATATTTTTCAAGCTTAGATTCAGTGTTTCCTGTGGTTTTCTGTTTGTGTCCTTCTACACATTATACATATTGTCTGTGTAGCTTGAGAGAGAGAGAGGAGTAAGAACATGAATATGAATGTATTCTGTGTTATCCTTCAATACTGGAGCAATGATGGGGGTATTGTTAGCAATGTGGTCCATCATTTTGTCAGGAGAAACTCCTTTGTAATCTCCTACAGTGGCTACTTCAGCCCCTAATTTGGATAAAGGGTTGTTTTCTTCTTTAATTAATGCAAATAGATTTTTAAATTCTAAAAAAGAAAAAGATCAGAGCTCTGACTTCACTACAATAAATGAAAAATTTGCTTTTGACTTTAGTTGAATTAAAATTTCAAGTAGTTTTCATGTAAGATACTAGCCAGTGGAAGTTGAGAACTAAAAGACAGCAACATTTGTTCAAATATAAGGTAAAAGCACTTGAAAACATACCTTTTTTGAAAAAAGTTTTGTCTGTGAATTTTTATTGGTTAGAGGAGTCTTTTGGATTGTTTTAGTAAAATTATTTGGAATGCACTTATGAGTTAGATAAACTTATTTTAAAGTAATTTAGATAATATACAATATTATCTCTTTTGAGTTATCTATTATCTGTTTGAGTGCTGGAAAGGCCTCCCCAGAGAGTACTTCTGCATCATTTTGAAGAGCAGTAGGATTTGTGGTGGTCCTGAAGTAAAATACACGATCTTATTTTAAGTCTATAACATGATGCTGTGTAATATAAAATAAGATTGTTTCATTTCTTGTAGCATTTCTTGCAGAAATCTAAATTCTAAATTTCTAACACAGAGAAAATAAACTGGTATATATTATATCTCTCATTTAAAATTCAAACTATTGTTGTTTTCAGTAAAATTTCACAGTCTTTCTGAAAACTGACTTCAGTTTGTCCTTTTGACTTTTATTTTGTGCTTCATAACAGTAGCTTAAACTTACTGAAATTAATTCAGTTACATTCATGTTTTTAAAAAATTCTCTTTATAACAGGATTATTATAAGGCTTTGGAAGATGCAGATGAAAAAGTACAACTGGCTAATCAAATATATGATCTGGTAAGTGGACACAAGACTTGTGGTGAATTACCTAAATTTATGCACTAGAAAGTTCTAAGCATTTTGATAAGCACTGCAGCCACGCTTCCTGTACTTTTATGTCATCTACATGCAGATGTTTTGCTGGTGAAAGAAACATTTAATATTTTATTAACTTTTACGAATTTTGGGGTTTTGGGTAGTAAGCATCACTTGAATATAAAATAGAAATGGTGTTAGAACTCATAAGGTTTTAATGCATGGTTTTGGCCTGTTTAGGAGACTGGTTGAGAGAATACTTTGGGATGCAGTGTTGAGGAGTCCAGGAAGGCTAGACATTCTTCAAGAAGGAAATCCTAAATATATAGGAGCAGCCCATCCCCATATGGCCAAAAGAGAAGCCAGCAGGGAAGATGACCAGCCTAAATTCAGAGCTTTGACTTCAACTTGGGGGGAAAAAAAAAGTATATCACCTTGGGAAGAAGGGACAAGCAACTTGAGAGGGTTACAAGGATTTTATGAGGTTATGTGGGGAGATACTTAGAAGGGCCAAAGCCCAAGTAGAACTTTATCTGGTTACTGCTATCAAAAACAAAAATATTTTAAAAAATATATCAGCAATAAAAGAAGGGCTATGGCAAATTTCCATCCTTTACTGGATACAGAGGTAAACATTGTGACGGAGGATGCAGAAAAGGCAGAGATACTTACTGCCTTCATCACTGCAATATTTAATAACAAGACCAGTTGTCTCCAGCATACCAACCCCCTGAGCAGGAAGAATTGGGTGGGGAGCAGAATGAAGTCCCCTAATTCAAGGGAGGTCAGCAACCTGCTGTGCCGCTTGGACACACACAAGTCTAGGGCTGTGATGGGATCCACCTCACAGCACTGAGGGAGATTGGTGGAAGAGGTCAGTGAGCCACTTTTGGGTGTTTACCAGAGATCCCAATTGACTGAAAATTAGCAGATGTAATGCCCGTGTAAAAGAAGGGTCAGAAAGAGCATCTAGGGGAGTAAGGGCCTGTCAGCCTGACTTCAGTGCTGGGGGAGGTCATGGAGCAGATGATCCTGAGTGTGATGACACAGCACAGGCAGGACAACCAGGGGATCAGGCCCAGGCAGCATAGGTTTAGGAAAGGCAGGTCTTGCTTGACTGACCTGATACTCAATAATGAAGTGACCTGCTTAGTACATGAGGGAAGGGCTGTGGATGTTGTCTACCTAGACTTTAGTAAAGCCTGTTTCCTACAGCACTCTCCTGGAGAAGGTGGCAGCTCTTGCCTTGGGCAGGTGCACTATTCACTGGGTAAAAAATTGGATGGATGACCAGACCCAGAGAGGGGTAGCACATGATTTAAAGTAAAAAGTTTATTTATTTTACATTCTTCAAGTGAACAGAACCTGCAAGCCAGGCTACATTCAATTATAGAAGACATAAGACAACTGCTTTTGTTTCACTACAACTAGCCAAAAGTTTGTTCTAGAAGTTGGAACTTCCCCTTCTCTTGCTTAGCTGGTAACTGGAAAAACTTCCCAGTTTTTAATAAAGACAGGTAAATTTTGCTGTATGATTACAGATGTAGAAAGCATTTGGAATGTAATGTTTCTTTTCGTGATAGTGAGTTGAGAATTTTTTTGGTTAGTTTTTAATACCCAAGGGCACTTCATAGTTTACTGAAACACACAGAAGTCATTGCTTTCAGTTAATACTCCGAACACACTGAATTTACTGGTCTTTATAGTGGCACACAAATTGCACACATATTTCAGTTCAGAGCTTGCAATTTCCCCAAAGCAGCCCAATTTCTACTAAAGTCCACGTCATGTACTGTTATTTCTCTTCCCTTCATATTTGCATAACCAGAGCACCTCCAAGTCTTCTTCATTTTTATTTCTGAAAAGAAGTGTCTTGGAGCTTTGCCTATGCTATTTTGGTGTTAACAGTAGTGTCTGTGCTGAGTGAGGGAAGTGGAGGTGGCCAAAAATATTGCTTCTTGCATTAGTGTGCTTAGTGCGGCGTGGCACAAAATTGCTGGAAGGGAAATACTTAGCAAGCCTGTGATTAAGGACATAGATATTCATATCCCAGAAGTGGATGCTATTTATTTTTGCTTCATCTAACAAACAGGTAGACCGTCATTTAAGAAAATTGGACCAGGAACTCGCTAAATTTAAAATGGAACTTGAAGCAGATAATGCTGGAATTACAGAAATACTAGAGAGACGTAAGTATGCATGATTTTCTTTAAAAACTTAACAGACTTTTTGTCAGTTCAGAAAATTAAAGTATCATACACTTGTTAGTGGCTGACAGTATTTTCACCTGTGTTTTAACCCACTTTTCATCAGTTAGTTAAAAAAATTTTAGTTTAAAGCTCAATTTATACCAGTGAAATCAAAATACAGCTGACTAAGTAGAATAGTTTTTTCACATAACTGTTGTCCTTGTGAATTGGTACAGTGAGATACATAATTCTTTAAACCTGTTTTTAATGATTGTAGGTATTCAGCCAAGTACTTTGGTCTAAGCATGCTGCATACCCAGTTGCAAGGGTACTATTTTTTCCTTGAGCTGATTGCCACCAAACCAAGGAGGGTCATTATTTTAGTTTTTCATGTACTTGGTGGTTTTCTTTTTTAAAAGGGTAAGAATGGGTTGTTCTGTAATGGGGCAGTGAAGGAAAAGCATTTTAGGTAAGAAACCTGCATGTTAAATACAACCATGCTGGTATTCAGAATGTGAATAAAAGTGTAAAGTTACAGCTTTTTTGCCAGCTTGGTGTAGAAGAATCTGGATTTTCTGTACTTATCAGCATTTAGACATCAAATTCAAATGTGATCGTGATGAATTTCTAAGTTGATTTAGCTACTGTGATTATGAAGGCAGTGTCTGTCCTTATAGCCAAAGATAGTGAAAATTGACTTAAGTAACTTGGGGATATTAAGAATAATATTAGTATTCTTTCTTGGAACTTTTTGTGGCTGTGTTGTATAAGCTGGGAGTTCAGGACTATTTTTTTTTGTAATTGCTATTACAAATAACAGATACAAAAAAAGGAAACTCTAAATGAAATGCTATTAATTAACTAGCAACTACAGAAAAGGACTAGTTTATTTTAGTTTAAATCACAGATGATTTTAGAATGTGATGCTACCATCTGTTGAACCATGTGTTTGGAGAGGTTGCTAGATAGGAGTTCAAGAATTCAAAATAGAGAAGTACTAGACTGCATGTTGCATCTTTAAGATTTGGATTGAGGGTTTCCTTTCTTTGTTTTTAAATAAAGCTAAAAGTAGAAGACTCTTAATATTTTTAGCTTTCAGAATAAATACATATGGTTGAAGTCCCGCCAGAGGGCAGCCTTTGGGCAAGTTCATAATGTGATTGAAGTTTGCTCAGCCAAAATAGCTCCTTATGCATTGATTCTCTTCTAGAATAATTGTATTTAAACTGTTGTAATACTTTTGTATTACTTATATACTCATGTATGTCAGTGCTTTTTGAAAGTACTGGTAGAGATAAATGCTGAAGCTACAGATTTTGAAAAATAAATGTGAATTGCTTTCTTGTTTTGTCTTCTGTGTAAATATAAATTGGTAGGTATTGGAACTACTTCAAAATCTTTTTGTTAGAGATTGATGAAAAAAATACTGTATATTGTTCTAAATTTATAGTTGAAGTCTCTCCTATGCTGTGATTATTTCGCCTCATCTTACAAGAAGTGTTATTCTTAGACATAGACTTGGATTTATGCCCATCTGACTTTTTCCTTTTTTGGGGGGAAGAGGGTGTGGGGTTTGTTGTTGTTTTGTTGGTTTTGTGGGGGGTTTTTTTGTTTTGTTTTCTTTTTATTTGTATTGTTGCTCTGTGTATTTTGAATGTTAAGAAAATCTGGATGATGATCTGCAGCCCTTTTGAAAGTTAAGTCATGTTGAAAGATGAAACTGCTGTTTCTTGAGATTTGACTGTGACAAGGAGGACTCAGTGGAACAAGATGCCTTCTTTACACAGTTTACATTGTTCAGACTTCAGTTCATATGTCTGTAGATTGTCAGTAGTTTTGGTGCAGCCATTCTGCATCTTATTTAAGTGGCATGTTGAGGGCAATGTTGTTTGTTCTTCTTGTTGGCCTTGATTTTAAGTTCTTGATTTCAACAGTTGGACCATAGCAGTCACCAATTTTTATTTGAGAACTAATCTCACTGGCTCCTGGTTGTACTGTAGAAAGGGTTTCAATTCTAACAAAAATTCTTTTGATTAAAATAAATATAACTGTATAGTGATTTGGTTAATATTTTAAAGATTCCTTTAGTATGTAAAAGTTAAATCAGTGCCAGCTCTCAATTTTTGTATCCTCTTGCCTTCCTCTTAGGGTCATTGGAGCTGGATACACCAGCACAGCCTGTGAATAACCATCACTCCCATTCTCACACTCCAGTAGAGAGTAAGTACTTGAAACTTATAAAGATGGCCATATTTTATGTTTCCTTTGTTTTTTTTTGTTGAGTAGTATCAGGAAAAAGATGGTTCTGAACTTTCTTCCCTCCATCATTGCAGGGAGAAAACAAAGCATAAGAAACGTTAATAATGTCTGTTAAGAAGAAGGGCAAGAATGAAATAGGTTTTGCTGGTGGGAATTAGTTGAAAGTGGTAGCATAATTTGACTTTCAAGCCAAACAGATTTTACATTTAAGTTCCCTTCATTTATTTCATTTAGAAAGGAAACACAATCCATCTTCTCACCATAGTACAACAGATCATGTTCCTGAAAAGAAGTTTAAATCTGAAGCCCTTTTATCTACCCTGACTTCAGACGCTTCTAAAGAAAATACACCAGGTAATCCTAATTGTCTTTCATTTCATTGCTTTTTAATCAGAAGAGAAACTTAATTATATTTGTGAGTTAGTCTTCTCAATTCATAGAATCATGGAATAGGTAAGGCTGGAAGGGACCCAAGTGGGTCATCAGGTCCACCCTCCCTGCTCAAGCAGGGCCATCCCAGAGTACACAGCACAGGATTGTGTCCAGACAGTTCTTGAGTATCTCCAGTGAGGGAGACTCCACAGCCTCTGGGCAACCTGTTCCTATGCATCCTCTCCTTCGTGGCCACCTGCACAGTAAAGAAGTTCTTCCTTATATTCAGTTGTAACTTCCTGTGCATCAGGTTCTGCCCATTGCCTCTTGTCCTATTGCTCGGCACCTCCCAGCAGAGCCTGGCTCCATCCCCTTGGCACCCTCCCTTCAGATACTGACAGACAGTGATGGGGTCCCCTCTCAGTCGTCTCATCTCAAGGCTGAACGGGCCCAGCTCCATCAGCCTTTTTTTCTAAGTGATCACCTTTTTTTCACTCCACTGGACCCACTCCAGGAACTCCATGTCTCTTGTACTGAGGAGCCCAGAACAGGACACAGCACTCCAGACACAGCTTTCCTAGGGCTAAGGAAAAAGTCAGGATCACCTTCCTCAACCTGCAGTGCTCTTCCAAATGCACCCCAGGAGCACCATTGGCCTTCTTAGCCCCGAGGGGACACAGATGGCTCAGGGACAGTTTGTTGTCCACCAGGACCCTGAGGTCCTTCTCCACAGCATGGCTTTTCAGCAGGTCAGCCCACAGCCTGTGCTCTTGCATGGGGTTATTCCTCTCCAGGTGCACTGCACTTCCCTTTGTGGAATTTCTAGACCCTGTACCATAGATAATGACCTCCTGGGATCTGCCATTCAGCCAGTCCTCAGTCAGAGGCTGATACCCCTTTCCCTGGGATTTTCAATCACTTGAAACATGAGAAATTGTAGGCATTCTTACTCATCTGTGTTGTCCATTAAGTGTGTCTGCTTTGTTGTCATTTAACAGCTGTATGATGGCTGTTTCTTTTTATTTACACTTTGAGGAGGGTAACAGTACAATTTTGTTCAGCTAGTAGTAAAAATATAAGAGATCATTACACTATTTTTGGAAAAACTGCATACAACAGTTTCCAAAGAAAGGGAAAAGAATTTTCCCACCCTTTTTTTTTCAGAGTTGGTCCGAAAATAAAATTATTTAATGTGTTGTCTATGTCAAAAGAGAAGTCTTTTTGAATAGCAACTAAAAAAACCTAAACCTTTCTGCCTATTCTCAATACTAAGGAGCTTCATAGTTTCTTTTCTGAAAATAAAAGACTAAGGAGATATAGTAAAGCAACTACCTCAGTAATGTTTTTCAGTTTTAAGTGGTTTCAGTCATTTCTATTTCAATTTTCTTTTGAAGAAACTTCACATGAGGCTGCAAAGAAAATGTAGCTATATTTGAGCAGCTGTCATTCTGCAGATGACCCTGGAAATTGTGTTGCATTAAAACTGATCTGTAGTTTTTAGAATTAAGATTGTTGAAAGTTTTACTTCAGAAACAGTATAGGTGCATAATCATTCTCACCCTCTTCTTGATGATTATAGTAGTGAGAATTGTTTCAATATAGGTACAGCAGCTGCATCTGTTCTTCGACAGGTTAGAATCATAGTGAGGAGCTGTCTTTCTAAAAGGTCTCCTTGCACATGAGGCTGGATAGGGAACAAACTTCTTTTTTTTTCCCCGTAAACAAATACTGTCTGTGTCTAATTACTTTTAAAACCCTTTTTCCATATGATTAGACTACTCTGATGCATAAACGGAGTTCCTACTCTTTCACTGGTTTTCATATAACTTCTTAAAATGCAAAGGAATTTAGTTTCATTTTGAATTTCATAAATGTGTTCTATTCATCAAGGGTGTCGAAACAGTAATTCATCATCCTCTTCAAACAATGCATACAATACAAACTCTTCTCAACCATTGGCATCATATAACCTGGGCTCATTATCTTCAGGATCCGGGGCCGGTGCAATTACCATGGCAGCAGCTCAAGCAGTGCAAGCCACGGCACAGGTAATGTCAAAATATTCTTGTCATTCTGCCATCCACTTAAGATTAAGAAGAAAGGCTAGTGACTGCTTTTTTTATTTTTTTTTTTAAATCTGAATTCCCATGATCACTTTCAGCTGGTGTGATTCAGTTTTTATATTAGAATTTTACTAATATGCGACAGTTTCATCCTGTACAACTCGCCTAAAGGGACAGCTTGTTTTCTGACTTTTCCTGGAAGACAGTCACATTAGATATGCACATTTAACAACCTTCTGTACATAATTTCATTAACAAGGTAACGAGCGAACCTGTGCATATCATTGGCAGTTAGCAACTTTATGTAGGAGCTTTGTTGTGTAATCTGATACAGTGTCAGTCTTCCTTTCAGATGAAGGAGGGAAGACGAACATCCAGTCTAAAAGCCAGCTATGAAGCATTTAAGAACAATGATTTTCAGCTTGGAAGAGAATTTTCATTGTCCAGAGATTCAGCTGGATATTCATCATCAGCTCTGGCATCTACATTAACTCAGACGTTAAGTTCATCAACCACAGATTCACGAAGTGGTAGAAAAAGCAAGTAGGTTTTCTGACTTGTTGATTGCAATTACAACTTGTAAGACTGCTGAGCTTTCTTTTAAAAGGTCATGGGCTGCATTAGAAATACATTGTATTTAATATCTCTGGGGGGGAATCAGCAGAAGGTTACTCCCTGCTGGCCATTTTTTTATTCAGGGTTGTGTTCTTTAGTCCTCCCACTTTTTCTTCAAGCAAACTCACTCCCGTGACTTGCTTTTTTATCTGAGATACAATCAAGTTTCTTCCCTCATTTGTTTTGGAGAGATTTGATCTAACAGCAGATGTTGGGAATTACTGTGCTATGGTTTGTAGATGGTTTTGAAATAACCTGGATATCTGTTTGATGTCAGGTTTACTTGAAACTGGCGCCTTCTAATGACTGACCCTCTAGAACAGGGAATGAATTTTATTTCTGATTGAAATGAAGTTTTAAAACATTTTTAACAACACAATGTTACAACATTCAACAATCAGAACTTGTACTTGGAAGAATTTGTCTCATCCCATCCTTTTAAATTGACTTTTTTTTTTCTTAATTCAAATTAGTGTGTGTTCACAACTCAGTTAATAATGCTGTTTTAGAATCATTTGTCATCTGTGAATATCTTCAATGTCAGGTCTGACCTATAAGCAAAAGCAGAGAAATTTTATTCTGGCACCATTCCTATGGAGTGATTGCTGATGCTTGAGTGGAGATTAACAGAGTATCAGTCATCTTCAAAACAGCTATCTATTGTACATGACATATGACATTATTTGTATGTAAATTCCTGTTTTATTGGTAACATAATTTTTATAAGGACTTGACACCAAGGCTGTTGATGGAAATCTTTGTGAAGAAAAGCATTTGTTTAAGCCACTTGACAGTTTAGGGCTGTTAAATTCCATTGATTAGAACAGCGTGTCTTGCACTTGTAAGCTGGTATGACTTGTTTCCTTTTCCAAGAGCATTCAGTGGGCGCATTCCACTGCTTGCAGTGGTTGAATGAAATGTGATAGTGGGATTTGGGATTTACATTCTGCAGTATTTCAGAGCCAGTGAAGTACTTGTTTAGTGATTCTTTCACTTGGCAGAAACGACATCATGCATGCTATTTTTTCCTTTTTTCTACTCTTCCTCAGAAACAACAACAAATCCTCAAGTCAGCAATCCTCATCATCATCATCTTCTTCCTCTCTGTCATCATGTTCTTCTTCATCTGCACTGGCACAAGAACTGTCTCAGCAGACAGCAGTAATACCAGAGTCTGATTCTAATAGCCAGGTTGATTGGACCTATGATCCCAATGAGCCACGTTACTGTATTTGTAATCAGGTAAGGATGGCCTCCAAATTGAAATACAGCTACAGCTGCCGTTTTGATGTAGCTGAACTTCCTTCTCTGAATGCTAATTTTGAAAAAAACTGTATTTTAACTCTTGAACTTCTGATCTGTTTTTATTTACTTACTGGTGATATGAATAATGAACTGTTGAAGCTAAAAATAGTTAATTTTTTTTAGTGATGTGATAGATATCCATGGAGAGTTTTAAATCTGGTAATGGAAACTTCAGGAATAATTAAATTTAAAATTGAGGGGGTTCACAGTGAATTTAGTTTTCCATCCAATCTGAAATATGCAGATGTATCTTCTTTTGCATAAACAGTTTTTGAAAATCAATTCACTATGAACATGATGGTGTTTGGGTTGTGTAACAAAAGTAAAATGAAAATGTTGTTACTGCTATTAATGGAAAAAACTCCTCAAAGGAAGAAATTTGAATGATGGCTCTTTCAATATATTAATTGCTAAGGTTTTTTTTTTTCTTATTTTATTAGGTGTCCTATGGTGAAATGGTAGGCTGTGATAACCAAGATGTAAGTAACAAAGTTCAAAGGGTTCATGAGAGGCTTTTGCATATAACTATTACTTGTAGGAGTTGCTTTTTTTTTTTTTTTGGAGTTTTTGAGTAGAGTTTTTTAGTGTAAAGTGCATATGATTTGAACCATCCTTTAGGAAACTTCTCATCTTTCCACACAGCTCAGGTTGTTTTAGAAACCTTCAGCCTTTGCTAGGTTCAAAATATCCTGTATTTTCCCTGCTTCAAAATATCCTTTATTTCTGTGAAATTTCGGCTATTTCAGTACTAATAAGAGTTGTCTTTTTCAAATAAAAAAAGTTTTCAAAGAACAGTTGAATATAATTATGTATTTACTGAGATAGCTACATTTAAACAGAAGTGAGTGATAAGATTATTTTGTCAAACTATTTCAAAGCACAGCATAGTTTTTTTGCTCTGTAGGTCCATATATGACTCCCAGAATTTTTATCATTTTTCTTAGTGTACTTGAGTGTATGTTGCAGATCCTCCCCTCTCCTGGTTTTGTCCTGTGACTTGTGTTAAATGCATAATCTATGCTTCCCACTCATGCTTCATTTTCATAGAATTCTATTTGTGATAGGCATTTTGAAAAAAACCCCAAGTCCCAAAGCCTCTCTTTTAACTCTTTTTATAGTGCCCTATTGAGTGGTTCCACTATGGATGTGTTGGACTGACAGAAGCACCGAAAGGGAAATGGTACTGTCCACAGTGTACAGCTGCAATGAAGAGAAGAGGCAGTAGACATAAATAAGTTTCTTCATCTGGAAAAAAATTGCATACTAAAGGTTTTATAAAGGACTTGGGAGGAGAGGGGCAACTCTCACCACACTTCCTTGCAACCACTGAAGAGTAACACAGCAATCATAGAATGGTATGGTTGGAAAGGACTGTAAAGATCTTCTAGTTCCAGCCCCCAGTCATAAGATCTTGAACTATTGGTTTTGCTAAGTCATGTTTTAATATTGTGGGTAAATTATTTACGCACCTTGATGTGCTACAGATGCTATTCCAGTGAGCCTTGGATTGTTCCAGTGGCCAACATATGCAGACATTTGTACTATCAAACCATTTTCTCTAAGCAGTGGGCATTCTACAGTTACTCAATCTTCCAAAAATTCCGGTAAGTCAAGATTTTAAATGTATGTTTTATATACAACAGATATATTCTGCTGCATGTACTGTACTCAAGAGCTGTTACGTAACACTATGTATATTAATAGTGCAAAAAGTCAGTGCTTCTGAAAGGAAAAAGAGACAGTTTTTAAAATGCCTTTATAGCTTTGGTTCTTTATGAAACTTAATTCAGCAGGCTGAAGAAAATGGTTCTTGTATACAGCGGGCTGTTGTCCTTTAGGGTACTTGAGTATGTAAAAACAAAAATAATGCTGTAGAATAAAACAAACTTGTGCCATTAGTCTTTATATGTTTCTGCTCCAGAGAAGGCGGGGGCCATAAGAAGAAAAAGAGGGTGTTAAAGTGATGATAAATTTTTATACCAAATGTGTTTATTTTTTTGTGCAAGTAATCCTTTAAATTTGAATTGTATTAGGTGTAAAATAAAAGAATCTCAACTCCTCAGATTAATGTTTTCTGTACATTTGTCAAAAAAAAGATCTGTCACTGAAATGGTTTCACAAACAAATTGCCTTTTCTTTTTTTTTTTTTTTTTCTGTGGCTCTTTAATGCTGCAGCACCAAACAGAAAGATGGGGTTTATGCCTATTTTCTTCTTCCTCCTGCTTTCCACTATTAAAAAATACGCTTTCTCTTTTAAAGATTTTACTTCAGCCCCTGGTTAGGCTGAAAGACTGTGGCTGTCATGTGCTGGCTTTCCAGACCCATGAAGAGAAGAAAGGGAGAGAAGCAGTGTTCCATTGCATGACCATGCAAATAGTGCCAAGGGAATAAAAACAGATAGGTCCATTAGTAATAAGAGTATGTGCAGAGAATGAAACCAGGCTTCTGTCACAGCATGTTTTTCCAAAATGGAAAAAGTAGGCATTTAAGGTCCATGAACTCAAGAAAAGTAGACGTGTAAGAAAGGAAATGTGATTATGGATAATAATAAAACTTTGGCAAAAGAATAGGATAGAAGTTGGTGGAAATAAACAACAGCAAGGAGCAGCTAACTAAGGTTCCCTTGAAAGTAGGAACTCAACCCACTGTGTATACATTTCTGTGGAAATCTCAGTCTCAAAAAAAACACTTGAAGACTAGAATATCTGGTTTTAAGTGAGGCTGTTGAGACAGTGGAGATAACATAGTGTTTGTTCTGTGGGAAACTGGTGCCGTGCTATGAATTGAAATTAAATAAGCAACCAGTAGTCTAGACTTATACTGAATGTCTGTCCCAAGGGCTATGAAGTAAGTTCCTTGAGAATTAAGACCGTGTACAGCAAAATCTCTCACTCTGCTGGTAACCTAAGATGGTACCAAAACTACAAATGCCAAAATAAAATATCATTTTTTAGTGTGAATATTGGATTGCTGTTTCTTTGGGGAATATAAATTATTTTTTCATTGAGAAATTACAGAACTCACAAGAGGAAAAAAACTTGTCCTTATTAGTAAATTAGTATTTTGTGCCAAGAAAGCAGAAATGGACAAATGTAAAAATGTGGGAAAGAATGCAATACCTAAGTCAAAGTTTTATTGTCATAAAACAATAAAACCTGTACATACTTTTGTTTTCTAAATAGGAAGCTCACAGGTCAGGAGGTAATGAGACTGTAAAAGCACTGAGCAGTGTGAGTAGTTAAGTATTGAGAGAGTTCATGCTTCATGGTCAATACATTTGCTGGACACTGCCCTGAGTAAAGAAGTAGAGGTGCAAAGTCTCTCATTAAAGCTTCTTTTAAAACAGTGATGCACGGGTTGAAGAGTGGGCATCTCTTGATTGGGGCATCCACACTGCTATTTGCAAAATAGAATCCTAAAGAGTAAAGGAATAAATTAGCAATATCCTTAACACACACTGTCAGATAAGAGCAGGACTTTGCTACTCAAGAGTCACATAAGAGATCAGTTAGAGGCCTAAATAGTAACATGATGTTAGTGTGGATGTTGTTTTCTCAAAAAAAAAAACCAAAAATGGAAAGTGCTAAAAGCATCAGACCAATCTCATGACAAACTGTCTGATAAAGTGGAAAATGTATTTCAACATTTTGCTAAAATAATGTAAATATAAAGTAATATATAAAAAAATACTTAGATCTCTGCCTGCAGCTGAGTCCTCTGAAGTACCTATTACTCTGTAGGAAAGTGATTTTGAAATTATCTAGTAATTTTATAGAAACTTCACTGTTCAGCAGCAGGTCACACAAGTGCTGAGAATAATGCAGTAGGAGATAAACAGAAAAGAATTTTACCCTGTGTAAATTGATGGTGCAGCTACGTCAACGTAGTGTAAAATTCTGGTCCGCTGTGTTACAAAAAGACAGCAAAGCTAGGAAAAAGCTCAAATTGGAGGGTCAAAGTATAATGACAACACAGCTAAGCAGATGGATTGTCTGGGACTCTTCTGGATGGGAAAGAGGCAGCTCCATGAGGATGCAACAGGGACCTGTAAATTCAGAAGTGATGTGGAAAAGGTATGTTTTGATAGTAGTGGTATGGAGGCAGCCAATCCAAAATGAAAAAATGAGCAACATTTTTTCACATGTGGCACATTTACATCAGAAAATGGGACATACAGCTAAGATACTTGGATCAGAAGCTCAGCGAAGATTGATCAGTAGAAGTCAAGAGTTTGTAATGAGGGAAGTGTTTGTGGCTGCCTCTGACAGTCCTAGAATTCTCTGACACTCACTGAATGCTGTTTGATACCAGACACTACGTTAGGAACCTTCAGCATTAGGCAGTGCAGTTTCTTTTAGTTTCACATTAACGTTCCAGCATTTGGGTGAACTTTTAGGATTTTAGGTTTTTGTAGTACCACAAACTGAGAACCAATGTGCTAAGCACTGTAATGGAACAAAACATTGCCTATTCCTCATAAAGAGTATTGTCTGTGTGCACTGGGGAGCTGTAACTTTTGTTTATTTTAGATCTGAAACGAAAATGGGAGAGGAAATACATTAATGGGTACTAATCTGAAAATCCCACTCGGTTGACTCTCTGAATAGCACTGGAAAATTTGCATTCTTTACCAAACTTTGCAAAATGTTATTCACACAAAGATCAGAAATTCTGAGGTTTGTTTCACTTTTCTGTTCTGCCTCACCAGGGAGGTACTTTCCACTGTGAGTTGGCTTTTTTTGGCAAGTTTTTTTCATCTCCTTCCTCATTCTGTGGGAATGTCTGGACCATACATTTTTCTTCTTCAACAGAGGTGGCCTTTACCTTGACAGCAGAGAGTTCAATTTTTTTAGACTGAAGTCTCTGAGAAGCAAAATTGTGAGAGGAATAAGGCTCTGAGTTTTTACATTCTCTTCAGGGTATACATGAATAAAGTTAGGCCTCACCATATGAACATATCCCTTCAGTTTTGTTACTCCTCGCTGGTTTAACTAAAATGCTCTTACAATAAAAGAGCAAAACTAAAAGGAGAAAAATGTCATACTTTAGTGTATCTATACCAATTTACAGTAATATTCCTCTTAGCACTTCCAAATCCATATCTTACTTTTATACTCGTATAGTATTCAATACAGAAAAACAGCAGCTTTTTCCTCTAGATAAATCTTGTATTCCAGAGCTATTTGAGCATGCAAAAGTTGTCAACAAGTTGCATGACTACTACTTTCAGGTTTGTCCTTCCATAGGTCTTATATTTTAAATCCCCTAGTAATTTCCAACATTAGTTCATTGTAGATTTAAAGTCTTGATTATAAATATGACTTTAACTGCATGCTGTGTTCTCTTTTTATAGGGATAGGAATAATTCCCTTATTCAGTCCTGAAAAAAAATCCTAAAGATATTGGAAAGGAAAACCCTAGTGTATTACAGCTAGAATAGAGAAATACTTGCCTTGTGACTGTACAAGAAATCGACCTAATGCACTAAAAAATGCATAACTAATGTTATGATCCACAACTGTGTTAATATTTTTAAAGACCTAATACCTGTTTGTGCCTTGTACCTTACATCATGAAGATTACTGGGTATTGTGGCAGCTCTATTCCTTTGTGAATATTTAGCAATGTCTTAGTCATTGAATCAAAAGTGTCTGCCCACATCTATGAAACTGGCTAATGCCAATTAGAAAAAGTTTTATTCAAGTTAAAGAGAACAATGAGGGGATTAGAGGCAGTTGTTCAGCTAAAATTTTTATATATTTCTTTAAAAGTATTAAAATTTTGAGGAATCTTTGTTGCTGAACAGATTTGGTTAGTTGACAGTTAACTTGATTTTCCTATTTAAGGTGGTATTAAGCCTTTTTTTCTAGAAGAATAAATAATAGTTATACTGTATTTGCCGACATGAGGATTACTGAAACAGAAAGAGGGAGCAATCTGAAAATAATTCTATATTTCTTCTACCTGCAAAATTTTAGCCTTACAATTTCAAAGCAAGTTTTATGATTTGTTTTCAGAAAAGGACATGTGGGATAGATAAACTTTCCAAGCGTGAGTATAGTTATGTGCTGGAAGAGATCAGTCAGGTAAGTGCTATGGAATTAGGGAATCCTTTTTTGTTAGATATACAGGAACAGTTTTCCTTGTGTTAATAAAAGAAATTTTGTTTACAGCTCTGTTACCTTTTATTTTGGTGAGATTAAAAATTATATTGTTACTATGGGTTGGTGTATAAAAATAAGTGCTCATCATATTTTAAAATTGTTCTAACACATGTTCAGTTACGAAGCTTGCTTGAAAAGATGACAAGCTGGAGTGTTTCTGTTGTGATGAATTCAGTTGGATATTCTCTTCTTGATTTAAATTATTTAAAAGGGTGTTTAATCTCTGTGTCATGTTATTTGGGGCTACATTAATCTCAGGCTTTTAAAGAAAGAAAATTCTATAGATCAAAGGATTAGCCAATAGTTGAATGAACTGGCCATAAGAACGTGTGTTCCTTAGTCAGGTCTGGAAAACAGTTCAGTACTATTGACCAACCCCTTATTTTAACTTAGGGAAGTATCCCATACATTTCCCAGGGACCTTGCTGGTAGCCTAATACTATTGGAATGGCTAAGAAACTGAGGAATAAGCAGAAGTTAAGGTAGGAGTTACTTTAACATTGCCCTAAAAAAATTAAAATCATGTCTTAATCATTTTAATCCAGAGCTGAAATTTTCTTAGACAAAGACTTACAGCTTACATGCTTTTGCACACAGAAGCGATGATTTCAGAAGTAATGATTACCTTTGAGAGTGTCACATCAGAACAGTTCTTCCCATCTCTTCTCTAACGTTGTTGGTTGCTCTTAACATAAATACAATCTAAAATACACACTGGGAAAACAGCTCAGTGAAGTTTCAGCCCAGGACAGAAAAATGAAAGATGATTCTCAAAAACAGGAAAGAGATGAAAATCCAACTTTAAGGTGTTCTGGTTAGTGTCTACATTAGTGTTCAAGATTTTCCAATGCTGAAGTACTTTCCACTTTGAAAGTGTTTTCCAAACATTCACCCATAG